CCTCAGACACAGGAGTCTTGCCCCCAGCCCACTCCTCCCTCAGATCTAAGAGTCGAGGCCCCCAGCCCCTCCTTCCTCAGACTCAGGGGTCAAGCCCACATCCCCTCCTCCCGCAGGACCCAGGAGTCCAGGCCCCTGGTCCCCACCCCTCAGACCCATCAATATCTTAGACCTTGGCAAGAAACCTCTGCTTCCCACCTTCAAGAGCCCAACCTCTAGCCCCCCAGACACCACTCACCCGCCCAGGTTTCCAGGCTTCTAGCTGTGACCTCCAGGGATACAGGCTTCGGCCCCGGTGTCCTCTGGACAAATGCTCCCTGATCCCAGGGCTGAGCCCTTTTTCCTTTCACCCACCCCCAGGTGGACAACTCCTCCCTGACTGGCGAATCAGAGCCCCAGACCCGCTCTCCCGACTGCACACACGACAACCCCTTGGAGACTCGGAACATCACCTTCTTTTCCACCAACTGCGTGGAAGGTGAGGCAGGGTGTGCCGGGGGCACCCAGCTTGGGGCAGGGCTGGGCCACACGGAGGGCTGTGCATCTGGGATTCGGGGTTCCTCTGAACTTCACTGAGACCCCATCTCCACCTCAGCCTAACCCCCTCTGACCCCACAGGCACGGCTCGAGGTGTGGTGGTGGCCACGGGTGACCGCACTGTCATGGGCCGCATTGCCACCCTGGCTTCGGGGCTGGAGGTGGGCAAGACGCCCATCGCCATTGAGATAGAGCACTTCATCCAGCTCATCACCGGCGTGGCTGTCTTCCTGGGCGTCTCTTTCTTCATCCTGTCCCTCATCCTCGGATACACCTGGCTTGAGGCTGTCATCTTCCTCATCGGCATCATCGTGGCCAATGTCCCGGAGGGCCTGCTGGCCACTGTCACTGTAAGGCCCGGACTCCCACGTCTGAGGGAAGAGGGGGGCGGGGGGCCTGATTGCAATTTTCCTGATGAGGACAGGTTGCACACTGAGGGCCCAGCCTCCTAGATCTTGGACGACGGGGCCTGGGGACTCAGAAAGCCTGCCTCACAAAACAAGCACATAAGAATCTTGAGACACATTGCAAGGCACAAGGGGCTCGCGGTCCTGGCCCTTTTTAAATTCACGTACAAAATTAAGAAGTACACTTTCACGGTAAAAAGTCTAAAGGATACACGGAAATAGTTAAAAAAGAAAGTAGCCGTTCCCCCCACCCTCCCGCTGCCCAGCAGGTGCGGGCATATCACAGCGTGTGGGTAAATGCTGTTTTTACAGCATAGAAGGTGGGTGCATAGAAGGGACTGTCCCAGGAATCCTGATCTGCTCCTTGATTCTTTTACTTTTTTTTTTAACGCTTATTTATTTTTGAGAGACAGGGAAAGTGCAGGGGAGGGGCAGAGAGGGAGAGAGGGAGACGGGATCCGAAGCAGGCTCTGCGCTGTCAGCAGAGAGCCCGACGCGGGGCTCGAACTCACGAACCGCGAGATCATGGCCTGAGCTGAAGTCGGACGCTCAACCGACTGAGCCACCCAGGCGCCCCAATTCTTTTACTTAATATATCCTGGAGCATTTTCCATATTAGCATGTTCAAAGCTAGGGTAGGTCAAAGGCTTTTTATAGACATGGCGTGTGCATACCTGGGGGCGCGCGTACAGACGCACAGGCTGCTGAGTCAGCATGCACCTGTGTCAGCCATACCCAGATCGAGTTCCCCAGAAACCCCCTCGAGACCTTATTCGGCTTCCCCCTGCACCCCCCACCAGCCCAAAGGTAACCCCTACCCCGGCTTCTAAGCAGTGTAGTTTTTGTATTTCATATCGACGGAATGATTTAGCATTTGTCCATTTTTGAGAGACAGAGCATGAACGGGGGAGGGGCAGAGAGAGAGAGGGAGACACAGAATGCGAAGCAGGCGCCAGGCTCCGAGCGGTCAGCATAGAGCCCGATGCGGGGCTCGAACTCGACACGGGTTACAGATCTTGAGCCAAGCAGTCGGATGCTTCACTGACGCTTACCTCTTCCACGGGCCATCCCGGATTGTCTCTGGGCAGTGGAATAGTCGGTGGGGGGGGGTTGTTGATAGGGGGGGAAGAATATACTACAGTTGGCTACAGCCGTGCATAGGGGCGGTCCCATCAAGCGGCCTCTACCTGTAACTTGCCGGCCCTTGGACGTCCCCTAGGTGTGTCTGACACTGACCGCCAAGCGCATGGCTCGGAAGAACTGCCTTGTGAAAAACCTGGAGGCCGTGGAGACCCTGGGCTCCACATCCACCATTTGCTCGGACAAGACGGGGACCCTCACCCAGAACCGCATGACGGTTGCCCACATGTGGTTTGACAACCAGATCCATGAGGCCGACACCACTGAGGACCAGTCAGGTGAGAGTGGGGCCCAGGCAGGGACCGGGGGGGGGGGTCTGGCCCCCGAGACGCCGTGACCTGTGACACATGCCTCCTTCAGGGACCTCGTTCGACAAGAGCTCTCACACCTGGGTAGCCCTGTCCCACATCGCCGGACTCTGCAACCGTGCCGTCTTCAAAGGAGGTCAGGACAACATCCCTGTGCTCAAGGTGGGTCCAGCTGCCCGCCTCGCCTCGGCCCTGCCCACGCCCACCGCCCGCTGCTCCGCGCTCACAGCCCTCTTTTCCCCTAGAGGGACGTGGCCGGGGATGCCTCAGAGTCTGCCCTGCTCAAGTGCATTGAGTTGTCCTCCGGCTCCGTGAAGCTGATGCGTGAACGGAACAAGAAAGTGGCCGAGATTCCCTTCAATTCTACCAACAAATACCAGGTACTCTGGGCCTCCCGGGAGAGCGAGCCTGGGCCGCAGTCTCTAATGCCTATAGGTGGTCACCCCTGCCCCGCTGCCCCCTCGTTTTGGGCCAGTTACTAACCTCCCAGAGCCTTGGTTTCACCGTCTGTAAAATGGGAATGATAGTATCGACCTGGTTAGGTAAGGAACAGGCAGACCCAAGAGTGAGAGTAAGGTCTCTGCCAGAGTGGGAGGCAGAGGAATGGAGGTCATCCTGTAGCAGGGAGTGAGTGCCGGCCAGAGATCTCTCATTCATTCAACAAATACATTTTTTTGAGCAGCCACCGCATGTCAGGCACATACGTTTTAGGTGCTGGTACCTGTGGCAGTGAGTGAAGCAGGAGAGTCTCCCCTCACATGGAACTTATACTCTAGTGCTAGAAGACAGACAATGACAAAGGCAGGAGGAGATACAGAATATGCCAGCTGCAGGTGTCTGGGGGAAGACTGTGCTAGGCAGTGGGCCCAGCATGTGCAAAGGCCCTGAGGCAGGGGTTTCCTGATGTGTCTGAACAACAGCCAGGCAGCCAGGATGATGGAGCAGTGAGCCAGGGCAGTGGGTGCCTGGTCAGGTCCCATTGGGCTTGTGGGCCGTGGGGAGGACTCAACTCTGACTCTAAGAGGGACATGAGCCACGGGGGGGCTCTGAACAGAGGAGAGATGGGACCTGACTCATGTTTGTTAAAAGAATTTCATTGAGGGGCGCCTGGGTGGCTCAGTCAGTTAAGCGTCCGACTTCAGCTCAGGTCATGATCTCACAGTTCGTGGGTTCAAGCCCCGTGTCGGGCTCTGTGCTGACAGCTCAGAGCCCGGAGACTGCTTCGGATTCTGTGTCCCTCTCTCGCTCTGCCCCTCCCCTGCTCATGCTCTGACTCTCTCTCTCAAGAATAAATAAACATTAAAAAAAATGTTTTTTAAAGCATTTCATCGAGGTATAACTCACATACCATAGGCCACCCACGTAAAGTCTGTAATTCCACATTTTGGTATATTCACAGATAAGTGGAATCAACTACACGACCACGGAACATTTTATCACCTCGAAAGGAGGCCCCATCACTCCTTAGCTATTGCCCGCCTCCCCCCCCCCACCACGTCCCCCATCTCCCCCATCCCTAAGCAACCACTAACCTACTTTCTGTCTCTTCTCTGTTGACCTATTCTGGACATTTCATAGGAACAGAATCGTATGACACGTGGCCTTCTGTGACTGGCGTCTTTCACTTAGTGTAGCGTTCTCAGGGTCCATTCGTGTTGTAGTGGGTGTGCAAGCAGACCTCTGCACGGCGGGATAATGTTGCATCGTCTGGATACTCCCCATTTGGTTCATCCCGTTCCCCTGCTGATGGGCATACGAGTTGTCCGCCCCCCTGAGCTACTGTGTCTGACGCTGTTGGGAATGTTCACACACGCGTTTCTGTGTGGACGTACAGACCTTGCCTGTGCCTCGGGAATGGCTGGCCCAGATGGGACCCCTACACTGAGCCTTTTAGGGGACTGCCAGACCTTTTGGCAAAGTGGCTGCACCGTTTTCCACTGACTCACATTTTGTGGTTTTTTTCTTTTCATTTTTTTTAATGTTTATTTTTGAGAAACAGAGAGAGAAATAGAGTGTGTGCAGGGGAGGGGCTGAGAGAGAGGGAGACACGGAATCCGAAGCAGACTCCACGCTCTGAGCCGTCGGCACAGAGCCCGACGCGGGGCTCGAACCCACAAACCGCGAGATCGTGACCTGAGCCAAAGTCGGACGCTTATCCGACTGAACCACCCAGATGCCCCTGACTCATGTTTTTTAAAGGAGCCTCCTGGCTGCCTTGGGGAGGCGATATGAAGGGCTGGGGTGGGCAGACACAGAGACTCAGTGTGGAGGCTGCTGTGATATTCCCTAGGAGAGATGGGGGGTGGCCAGAGGGGGAGGGCAGGGGGGAGGTGAGGAGAGGTCAGAATCTGGGTGTATCTGAGAGGTGAGCTGAGCAGATTTGGTGACAGGTCAGATGTGGGGTGAGAGGGAGCTGGGTGAGGCAGGGAGAGAGACACATCCTATGGGTGGCTGAGATTTCTGTGAGAGAGACCCATGGGCAGAAATATCTGTGAGATGGAGAGACAGACATGGGCAGGGGTGAGCCGAGATCTCTGTGGGAGACTCCAAAAGCCAGATGGAGCTCTCTGGTAGAGAGATTTGGGCAGTGCCTTCCAAGGGAGCCCCAGCTGTGGTCTGTCCTACCACCCGTGGCTCTGAGCTGGAGGGGGGTTGGAGGTGGAGAGGGGAGTCCTCTCCCCCAGCTGGGGGTGGGCAGCTTCTGGTCCTGAGACGTCCCAGCATGCTCACCCTCCACCCTCCGTCCTCCGCCCTATCCACAGCTCTCCATCCACGAGACGGAGGACCCCAACGACAACCGATACCTGCTGGTGATGAAGGGCGCCCCCGAGCGCATCCTGGACCGCTGCTCCACCATTCTGCTTCAGGGCAAGGAACAGCCACTGGACGAGGAGATGAAGGAGGCCTTCCAGAATGCCTACCTCGAGCTCGGCGGCCTGGGCGAACGAGTGCTTGGTGCGCTCCACGGGTGGGGCTGAGTTGGGGCAGGGGCTGGGCCAGCTCTGGGGGGCCCTTGAGGGTGTGGAGGGGTGTGATGCCGCCCAGAGCCTGGCTCAGAATAGCACCTCCCAGAATGCACCATGAATGAATGAATGAATGAATGAATGAGTGAATGAATGAATGAGAGGGGAAGGCATCTTCAGGCAATAAATGTTGACAGACTCTCCCGCCGGCTGGGACTGTCCAGACTGCGGGGACCCTGACGGCTGGGAGCTGTGGGCGGGAAGCACGGAGGTCCGAGGCTGGAGCCCTCATGCCCCCCACCCGTCCTGCCATCAGGTTTCTGCCATTACTACCTGCCCGAGGAGCAGTTCCCCAAGGGCTTTGCCTTTGACTGTGACGATGTGAACTTTACCACGGACAACCTCTGCTTCGTCGGCCTCATGTCCATGATTGACCCGCCCCGGGCCGCTGTCCCCGACGCAGTGGGCAAGTGCCGCAGCGCCGGCATCAAGGTGTGGCCTGGGGCAGCCGGGGAGGCGGGGCCGGGGCCCCAGGGGCCGGCAGGGAGGCTGGACCGTCTCCACGCCATGCCCGCAGGTCATCATGGTCACGGGTGATCACCCCATCACGGCAAAGGCCATCGCCAAGGGCGTGGGCATCATCTCTGAGGGCAACGAGACTGTGGAGGACATTGCTGCCCGGCTCAACATTCCCGTCAGCCAGGTCAACCCCCGGTGAGCCCGCCCCTGCCAGCTCAGGCTTCTGCCCCCCACCTGGCCTCCCACTGGGACCACCTGTGCCCCTTCCTCCTGGGTCTCCCCTGTTGACACGGCTCCTGGGTCCTGCTCCCCCTCCACACGTGAGGACAGACAGCTTGGTGCAGGGCCGCGTCCCAGCTTTCCTGCTCACGGGCAGTGTGACCCTGGGCAAGTCAGTTATACTCCCTGAGCCTCGGTTTCAGAACCTGGTCCTCTGCCTCTCCTGTGTGGCGTGGGTTGTGTTGGCCTGGCTGTCCATCCGCTAATCCCCATGAGTCCTGAGCAGCTCTCTGCTCTCCCCAGGGATGCCAAGGCCTGTGTGATCCATGGCACCGACCTCAAGGACTTCACCTCTGAGCAAATCGATGAGATCCTGCAGAACCACACTGAGATCGTCTTCGCCCGCACGTCCCCCCAACAGAAGCTCATCATCGTGGAGGGCTGTCAGAGACAGGTGGGCTCAGCCTGAAGTCCCTCAGGGGCCAGGACTTCTGGTCCCTGATGAGGAGGGGGCTGGGGCCAGGCCCCTGGGCGTCATCCTCACTCTCTGTCCCTCCAGGGAGCAATCGTGGCCGTGACTGGCGATGGCGTGAACGACTCCCCTGCCCTGAAGAAGGCAGACATCGGTGTGGCCATGGGCATTGCCGGCTCTGACGTGTCCAAGCAGGCAGCGGACATGATTCTGCTGGACGACAACTTTGCCTCCATCGTCACGGGTGTAGAAGAGGGTGAGTTGGCCGGGGTGGTCCTGGAGACTGGGTTTCCTGCATGAGGTCGGAGAAGGGCAAGAGGGACCCATTCGGCTGCAGCCGAATGATGGTGGGGAGACACCAGAATCCTCCTGAGCCCCGGTGAAGCCTCAGCTTGTCCCTTCAACCCCGTGGGGTTGGGGGCTCCCTGGCAGTGGGGCTGTGCTGACGCATTTCTGGGTCCCAGCATTGCCCAGCGCAGGCCCAGTTGGGTGGGTGATGTAGACGTGGAAGTGTTTTTAAAATACCTTTAAATGCAAGGACGGGGAAGCAGAGGGTCCTTCGGGAGCCCTGTGGAGCCCCCTCCCCCAGCCCGGGGTCAGGGGGCAAGGAGGCTTCCCAGAGTGGACAGGGATCGCTATACGGAGCCCCAAGGGCCGAGTTGGAATGTTCACGTAGAGTAATGGCAGGGAAGGGAGTTCTGGGCCGAGGAACAGAATGCACACAGGCAAGGCGGTGTGAGGGAGCGTGTGTGGGGCCGGGCCTGGTGTCCGGGGTGGGGGACACTGAGGGCGCTGCCCCCTGACGGGCCTCAGTGTGGCCACAGATGGGGCTTGTTCACAGTTAATTTTATTCCGATCACCAGAGGCATTCCTGATAATTATAGGAAATGAAGACAAGCATTAAGCAGAAAATTAGAATCACCCATAACCTCACCATCCAGAAATAGTCACTATTCATGCTGTGGTGCATTTTCTTGCAGTTTCTCTCTCACATTTGAAACGTTCCCCAATGCGAAAAATAATGCATGATCAAGGGGAATGTAAACAGTAAAGCTGCGCCTAAAGTGACAAATGCCCTTATCCCTTGTCTCCTTTGTCCCAGAAGACGCCACAGTTACCCCTTTCTTATTCCCCAAGTCGTCTGTGTGTTCACAGTGCGCACATCTGTGGATACACCGTTCACACTTTCCAGGCATTTACTGGGCTGGACAGTGTGAGCAGAGCAGACGTGATTGGTCCCTCCCCTCAAGGAGGTGGGAGCGGCAGCTTTTAACAGATTAGCAGATTGTAACATAATAAACCTAATTGTAAATTGTGACAAGCCCTAAGGAGCAACCCAGCGGGGGATGCTATGTATCAAGGGTCCTGCCTAGATTGGGGGCGGGGGACAAGGAAGGCCTCCCTGAGGTGGAAAAAACCCCCACAAAGTTTAACTTCCAGTAGGGGAAATTCCAGGCAGACCGCACAGCAGAGCAAAGAGCCTGGTCACCATCCACGACAGCTCATGGCCAATCTTGTTTCGTCTCAGCATACACACTGGATCATGTTGAAGCATATTTATTTATTTGTTTGTTTATTTATTTTTTTGAGAGAGACACAGAGCATGAGCAGGGGAGGGGCAGAGAGAGAGAGGGAGACAGAGAATCCGAAGCAGGCTCCAGGCTCCGCTGTCAGCACAGAGCCCGACACGGGGCTTGAACCCACGAACTGTGAGATCATGACCTGAGCCGAAGATGGACATTTAACCGACTGAGCCACCCAGGCGCCCCTATCTATTTGTCTATCTATGTATGTATTTATTTTGAGAGAGACGGAAAGTATCAGTGGGGGAGGGGCTGAGATAGAGGGAGAGAGAGAGGATCTCACATAGGCTCTCCGCACCATCAGTGCAGAGCCTGACATGGGGATTGATCTCACGAATCGCGAGATCGTGACCTGAGCCAAAGTCAGACACTCAACTCACTGAGCCACCCAGGGGCCCCGCGTCGAAGCACATTTCAATCATCATCCCCTCCATCGATACTTCAGGATGAGACACCAGACGTTTGGGGAGAGCAGAGCATGTGTGGCAGGAACAGAGCCCCGTTACGGTTTCGTCGCGTCCCCTCCAGCCCGTATCTCCCTTCCTAAAAATAAGCACTATAGATTAGTTTTAAACCTCATCTAAATGGAGTCGTGCCGCATGAATGCGTTTGTGTTACGTTTCACTCAGCGTAAGGTCTGTGAAATTCATCCACGGAGTTGGGTGTGCCTGCGACTGGTTCCTTTTTCCTGCTGAGTGAATGGACCGTCGTTAGTTTATCCACTCCCATGCTGATGGGCATTGGGGTCGGTTCAGGGTTTGGCTATAGTGATAATGCTATGGTGGACCTTCCTGCACTTTTTGGTGGATGTAAACACTTATTTAAACCTAGGAGTAGGAGGGGCGCCTGGGTGGCTCAGTCGGTTAAGCCCCCGACTTCAGCTCAGGTCATGATCTCACGGTCC